TTTGATTCCTGTTTTACAGACCTACCACACCAGGCTTTCTCACTTCTTTACTAATATCATTTGCCGTCCTTTTTAGGATGCAATTTTTCGTTATATGCCAGGAGGTGCAATATAGCCAGCCCATAAATATGGCCAGATGACTGAACGCGGTTTCTGGGACCTCTCCACGGTGATCGTCATCCACATGGTGGCACATTGTGTCATCTGTGTTTATCGCCTGTGTGATGTTACCTGGTAGGGTAGAAAGTCCAGTCGGTCAGTCAGTCAGTCAGTCACTCAGTCAGTCAGCCAGTCAGTCAGTCAGTCAGTCAGTCAGTCAGTCAGTCAGTCAGTCAGTCAGTCAGTCAGGCTTTCTCATGTGGTGCTTGGCGGAGGCAAGGGGTCCTCTGTAATATATATATTTTTTAAACTGAGTTTAGAATGCAATTATTTAAACAAATTTAAATATTTATAAATCAAAATACCTAGAGAATTTGAAACAAGAATCTAACAATAAGCAATACCACTTGTCAACTGGAGCGAGTTTTGAAACAACCCGCTATCACAGTAAACACAAATAGACAATATTTACACCATACTTGTTCTATCAGTGTCAGACTTAGACATTGAATAAAGAACGCACAGCCCAACTGACCTGGAAATGAAATGTCCGAAGAAGACCGTCAACACTTGTGAGAAGCGAAGAAATTACAACAACTAAGGCCAAAACACCTGTACTTAAATTCGTAGCCTAGTCGGTTAAACCAGACATCGCGGCGACCGGGTGACGAGCTCCATGTGGTCCAGCTTCCCGCCCACTGGTAGGCAGAAAAGCTACATTTCTCCCAGATTTACGATGTTTCATGGAATCAAGATCGAAGGGTTGTAATATCCATAGTGTACCGAGCCAAAGGCTTAAAACCTCTTGTTTTCTGCATATTTGCGAACAAAAAATTCATTGAAAAAAAAAAAAACAAAGACTGAAATTGTTTGGCCAGTTAATGAGAATGAATCCAATGATAACAGCAACTGGAACGTACAACATGGAAGTATCAAGAGGAAGTAGGGCACGGCCAAGAAGGGGACACTAATACCTTGAGACTCCCCAACATCACAGTATACTCGGGAATCGAGCGCGCCCTAACTCAAGTACCGGTCATCTCTTAATCTGCGATGCCTAGCAGTACAAAACAGAAGTTTGAAGTTTGAACAACGGATCAACATCATGGCAAAAGGGTAATATACCCATTAGTTACCCATAGGACCCATAAGTGCTCCCTTCTTTTTCTAACTCAAGTCTGAGTCCGAAAAAGCTCAGCACAGTGCGCAGGCTCTGTAACACTTGCCAGGTTCCTAAAATACTTTAGTTAGATTTTTAACTCAAAATTTTGTCTGGGCAGCTTCGTTAAGCTACCCTTTTCGATTTCCAATGTCCACATAATTTGTTTGTGTGTGTGTGTGCGCAACAATGCACACGGGCGTCAGATCTCACTACCAAGAGACCGGGAAAAATTACTAGAAATCCAAGCCCACTTAAAAAATGTTAGCCCTTACCGGGGATTAGAATTAGAATAAGGACCAAATAAAAGAATTGGATTTGATCTATCTTTTTTAGGTTACCCTTTAAAATTACACGAGCTATTCTGAGACAACTAAAATACAGACGCTTTTTGAACATGGCGATAATGGAAATACATAGTAGTTTCATTTTTAGTAAAAGAAATAATGAATATCAAAGAAATTATAGCATATAATCATATAAATGGCCCTATTAAAAGACAATTGCAGTTTAATTTACTTATAAAAAAAATGAATGGTTCTATCCCAATAATTTACCCCAAACACGGGCAATCCACAGGTCATGGGCAGTCTAATATTTCAGGGGGTGGTAGATAAAGCGTATCGTTACCAATTTGGAATTTCATTTGCTGTTCAATTTTGTGCTGTGCATTTTTCAATTTTGTGTGTTGCTTGTGCTGTTTTTTCGTGTGCATTGTTCTGTGTGTTAGTGCGATCGGAAGGATGCAGTTTTTGCAGGGGGGGGGGGGGGGGAGAGGGGGGGGGGGGGGGCTTCCGCTGGGGAGGAGGACCTAGGCTACACACAGTAGTGGGACTTAGGCTGCATCAGTCGTATGACCTAGGCTGCGCTCTCTCGTGGGACGCAGGTATATAACTAACCATGCTTATCGGCAAAGTACAAGATGGCGACAATGACGACGACGATGATAATAATGACGACTATGAGGATGATAACGATGACGATGATCTTCTTCTTGGTATTCGCGGACTGTAGACTCCGGTTGTTAGTCTACTTCTAGTCTTTGGTCTTGTTCCAGAACTTGACTTTCCCATGCACATCCGTTTTACAGATATTTCTTATTTATATGCCTACTGTTGGTTCCTGGTCTTTCAGCAGACGCGTTTCCACTTTCAAAAAAGCATTCTCCATTGGTCACTTCCTACGAAGTGCTTGCTGGAGGTTGTGGTGGCAGTGAATATCCCCCCCCCCCCCTAAGCCCAATGGGGTCTTGCAACCCATTGGTGGAAGAGGAAAATCTAAACTGTTAATTTAGTCCCTTTTAGTCTATATTGTCAAAATGTTCAACTGTTTTTGATCAACACATGCTATTGTATGAAGTACAACTCCTGCACATAGAAAGAGTTAAAGCAGATGTTGTCTTGACAGGACGGGTTCACCTTCTCATGGCATGCTTTTCTTCTTTTTCCACTTCCACTTCTTCTTCTTCTTCTTCTTCTTCTTCTTCTTCTTCTTCTTCTTCTTCTTCTTCTTCTTCTTCTTCTTCTTCTTCTTCTTCTTCTTCTTCTTCTTCTTCTTCTTCTTCTTCTTCTTCTTCTTCTTCTTCTTCTTCTTCTTCTTCTTTCTTCTTCTTCTTCTTCTTTCTTCTTCTTCTTCTTCTTCTTCTTCTTCTTCTTCTTCTTCTCTTCTTCTTCTTCTTCTTCTTCTTCTTCTTCTTCTTCTTCTTCTTCCTTCTTCTTCTTTCTTCTTCTTCTTCTTCTTCTTCTTCTTCTTCTTTTACTTCTTCTCTTCTTCTTCTTCTTCTTCTTCTTCTTCTTCTTCTTCTTCTTCTTCTTCTTCTTCTTCTTCTTCTTCTTCTTCTTCTTCTTCTTCTTCTTCTTCTTCTTCTTCTTCTTCTTCTTCTTCTTCTTCTTCTTCTTCTTCTTCTTCTTCTTCTTCTTCTTCTTCTTCTTCTTCTTCTTCTTCTACTTCTTCTTTTTTGTTCATAACCTATAGGCTTTGGTGGAAAGTCAATTTGGACTTTGGCTTTGTACCAGGGCCGGAGTTTTGGGTGTACATCCGTTTTACTGGCTTATTTGTGTGCAGTTGGTTATTGCTTGCAGATGCACTCCGACTTTAAAAGAAACCCCCAGTTGGTCAACTTCCACGATACGCTTGTTGGGGAGCCAATGGATCTATTCTTGTCTTCCCCGTAGCGGCACCCGGCATCCACATGGAGAATTAGGTGCTCAAATAATGTTTATTGTCCGTTTCTTAGCACGCATTTCCTAAATTTAAGGTGATGGAAAACGGAAGGAAAGTGTGTGCATGTGTGTATGTGTGTTTGAGATGAGGAGGGGTTGAGCTAGAGGTTTTCTGGCAGTAGGACTGGTGCAGTTTAAGAATTTTGTTTTGCCCTCGTCAGAAAATAAATGCTTAACCACTCGGCGAGTGGCTTCTCTATTTATTTATTTTCTACTTCCGACCAACTTGTGATAAGGGTAAGCAGTGATTTCTACTGAGAAACATTCTAACATTTTACATAGTATCCGGACAAGGCCAGCCAATGTAGGAAATATTAGCCAAAAGTAAACAGACTCAATAGAAGTCAAAGCGGGAAAATGAAGTACAATAGTATTTAATATCTATAAACATGTGTATATACAAGATGTAATGGGAAAGTGGGAAGGATGGAACGAAAAATTAACTATTTTTATTGTTCGAAATCTGCAGTATGTTACAGTAATAATATAAACACTTTGAAATATATATATATAATGAAATCAAGAAATGGACAGGACTAAGTTATCATACATTTTTTTATCAAACAAAAGACAGAGAAAGATGGCGGTTTTTTTTTTTTGCGCTAGTGCTTCCATCAATACACCTCCACGACCCAGATGGGTCAAGTGTTATGTTATGTTATCTTATGTTATATATAAAACGAATGTACTGAGCTGTCTTCTTCTGCGGCCTTTTCTTTTTCTTTTTTCTTTTTTATAGACAAATCTTCTGTCGATGCCTGATGTTGTCAACGTAAAGCCAACTGCCTTTACTTTCCAGAGCATTTTCCGGTACATATTTTAGGCTTGCTAATCGTGGAGCCAGGATAAATCATTGGAGGGGAGGGGGTGGGCGTCGGGAGGGGGGAGGTGGTCAGCCTCGATGCAGATTCGAATCGAGGACTTGGGTCTGGTAAGCTAACCACTACACTACAGCCGACCTGCCATATGGAAGTTAACAAGTTAATCATGTGTCCTCTACAGCCATTTGGCAGAACCAACCCCTGCTTCGTTTGTCTGTGATTTTCCTAGGCCAGGGCTATTCAACTAGCGGCCCACGAGCCAAATCTGGCCCGCGAAGGCCTAGCAAGTGGTCCGCGGATCAATGTTAGTTGTAGTGAATAAACGACCCTTCTACGCCTGGGATTAGTCTTCTGGCTGATGAAGATCCCCATTTTCAAAATTGTTGCTCCTGAGTAAATTTAGTTGAATAGCCCTGCTCTAAACAATGTTACTTTCGGTAGTTCGTCACAGCCTATAAACGGTTTAGCTCTCTATACCAATGTTAACGCCAGCGCAAAGCGGTTCACGGCCAAATTTGATCGAATCTGGTACACTTGAATTACGAATCGCGTTTTCAACGCTTAAGCCACATAATGCCGACACTACTAAAGTTGCACTAAAGTTACACTAAAGTTGTACTCAAGGTTACTTAAGTTTACTAAAGTTTAATAAAGCTGTACTAAAGTAACAATTGTTATACAGCTATTTTCTGTTTCTTTTTAATCCACAGCTTTATTGTCTCGGGGAGAGCTGCCCTCGTCCCAGGAGTCAGAAATATGATCAGAGTCGGTAAGCGCCGACTTATCGCTGTTCTTGTCCGGGGTGCGAGCGTGAGGGGACGTAGAGCGTCTAAAGCTGAGTCTATAGGGGTGGAAAGAGAACGGGGAAGCAAACACGCCTGGGTAAGTTGAAGCTGGTAGCCCCCCGACACCGATTCCCATACCGAGGCTTGCATAAGGAAAATGAGGTGATTGAGCGAGGATATCTGTCGAAGTGGGTCCATGTGGAAAGAATGGATTCCTCAGCGCCGTTTCCGATATAGAAGCGGGATTAAAATGAGGGAAGTGATTTGTAAATGCTGAATGGATGCCTTGGGTCGGGCTGAGCGGGATGGGAGTGAATGCTGATTTCATACTTCCATAGGGTAGCTTGTTGGATGTTGCTCCACCCGCATGTGCCACTGGTGGAGTATGGTGGAGGTGATGCCCCGTTCCTCTTAACCCATTATGTGAGCTTATCCCACTATTACTGTAAAGGTTATTATGACCACTACTGTTGGTTACAGCGTGTCGAAATATGGGTTTGTTGGAGGGAAGGTTATTAATGAACATGTTTGATCTGGAGTCGTGTTTTTGACCAGATGCTAGCAGCGCCTGTTGTTGCACTACTACCGTATCCTGGGCTGAAATGAAGTGCTCAATGGCCTTTACAAGATCTCCGTTGCAGCCTTGAAGAACCAGTTCCAATACGGTCTTTCTCTGGAGAGGAAAGACGCGCTCTAGAATTTCTAACGGTGTCAGTCTTCCGGGTCTGAACGCTGCCGGCTGTTGATGACATCCAACTTCTCCATTCTCTTTCCGACGGTGATGATGCAGGCTATGATTATGGTGGTGGTAGTTGTGATGGTGGGTGTGTGGTGCGGAAGATCTAGAGCTCCGAGCCGGAGTTTCGGAAGTTGTGGTTTGAAGCGAATTTTGTTTGTCCCCTCCTGGGGAGGTATCTGAGTTCTGAACGCTGGGAGACCGTGTGAGTGATTCCCCTTCATTGTCACTACAGCTGCCCACCTCGAGTTCCGTCTGGGAGTCTGCAATAGAAGACAAAGAGACATTCAACTAACAATCAGTTAAACATCAGTGAGAACAAAGCTTACAGTTGTATGATAATATCAATACTTATAACACTGGCAATTATGAAAATCGGTATAACTCACGAAAGTCACCACATCTCGTCGTGAGATTTCATAGGGAATTTACAGGGACACTTCTCTAGTCTAGGGGTGTCGTGTGTCCTAATTTAACCATTTTAAGCACGCCGATTACCAATGACAGCCCTGACATCGAGCGTAAAAAACCTCCAAAATCAACGATTAGATACTCACAAATCGTCGCGCCTTCGGTGCTTTGCCCTGAAGTATTTCTTTATTGCACAGAGGTGCCTTTGGCGCAACAGACTTACTTCTAACAACAACCTATTCTAGAAACAACAGTCCTTCACAGAAAAGAAGGTTGCGAAAAGAAAGCTACGCACTTTCGTCTAGGAGACAAAGTGTTGCCCGCGTCGAACGTACCCAAGCCGTATTTTGCCGTGTAAACGGCGAAGGAAGACATCTCATAACACCCCTATAACATAGGACAGCTCGTGGGAGCCACTACGAAATCTCGCGGCCGAGGAGATATGGTGACTTTTGTGAGTAGTACCTCAGTGTCTTTCAACTACAGTGAAAAGGCGCAAAAAGCAATGGTACGGACAGGTAATCAGATCTTACTGCCTCTCAAAAACAATACTTCAGGGCTCAGTAGAAGGGAAAAGAAGAAGCAGACCAAGAAAGGCATGGATATAGAAATAGACTAACTGGACAAGCCTTAGGCATGCAATCATCGTCCATCACATTTGACCGTCAAAAATGGTGGGGTGGGGGGGGGTGGGGGGGGGGGGCTGATCTAACAGTCAACAGCAACTGGCGACCCAACGAAAAGCAGTGTAACGGGATGATGATAGTGGTGATAGTAACAGTAATTATAATAACAGCAGCAGTAGTTCTAGTGCCAGTGGTAACAGCGGCAGTCTTCTATCTTCTTCTTTACTTTCACCAGCTAACAAACATGTCTTAGAAAGCCACTTGTTAGTATTGTTTTCTACAAAGTCGGAGTACATCTGCTTGAAAGGCGGGAAACCAACTGTCTACATAAGCATCTGCTTGAAAGGCGAGAAACCAACTGTCTACATAAGCATCTGCTTGAAAGGCGGGAAACCAACTGTCTACATAAGCATCTGCTTGAAAGGCGGGAAACCAGCAGTCAACATAAAAAACTAGATCTGTAAAATAAAGGTGCACGCATCATCCAGGTTCTAGACCGAGATTAAAGCCAAGAAGTTTAGGAATAACTAGTACTTTTCGCCGCAGACAACAGCTGGTGAGTCATGAGAAGAAGAACATATCCTGTAATGTAAGACAACAAACAAGACAGTCATCCTTGAGATATATTAATTTCGCAAACTGATCACATAAATTCCGCCACCACTGGCAAGGTTGCTGGGGAAAAGGTTTTGAGGTTTTGAGCAACGCATGAACATCATGACACACAGGTAGTAATCCATAAGTGTTCCGTTCTTCTTCTAACTGAAGTCTGAGTCCGAGGAAGCTCAGCACAGTGCACAGACTCCTGAAATACCAATTTAGCAACGCTGTCCTCAAACAATTTTTGTCAACAGGGGAGACAGTAACTTCGTTTGTCAATTTCAATTTTCGTCATATGGGGCTTAAACGGTATTCGACAAAATGAGACGGTAATGGGGACTTACAAACAGCGTGAATGTTCCAAGAACGCTGAAGAGAAAGCATTACGATTCGAGAAAACAAACGTTAGGTCTTTCAGAATCGAAGAGCCAACCAACCTCTCCCCCCTTCTCTCTCTCTCTCTCTCTCTCTCTCTCTCTCTCTCTCTCTCTCTCTCTCTCTCTTGTGAAAAAAAAAAAAAAAAAAAAAAAGGCGACGAGTTAGAATACCAGCATGAAATTACATGCACTCAATTGGTAAATTTATATGACATTTTATATGTATATGATAAGATATTAAAAAAAAAAAAAACACACACACACACACTCTAAGAACACTTTCTTTTTATATTAATTATATTTTGTGTGATTTTCAAAGTTTAAAAGTCAATTTTCTCATAATTCTATTTTTATGTTTGTTGTGTGTGTAAAATCCCGAAACCTCAGCTAATATAGAAACATAACATTTGGTGTGGATACTCCTTAAACAATATTATATGGACAGGTCTGTTTGAAAATATATTTTATTTGGTCTTTTTATTTTTTTTATTTTCATATTTTATTTTTGTCTTTTGATGCTACTTTTTGACATTTTCAACAATCCTAAATTTGATAATTCTAATAAAAATATTTAGAAACATCTTTAAAGTAAACAAACTAGACCTAACCCTTAACATAGGATTTAAGTTCATGAATCAATCCTCTATTTTTCAATATGTATGAAATTGTAGGATTCTAAGAACATGTTTTTTTTTTCAAGATAGCGGCCGTTGCTATGGCAAACATGATTTTCTTTGAACTTAAAGCGTAAAAATGTAATAACATTATCCCTAACAAAAGGACCTTTACAAATTAATCGGTCTCACTTTGTAAAACAAAACAAAAAATGTGTTGTAGTGTATGTCAAATGCAGAGCGAGTTTTCTTGTTTCGCCGTAAATGCAACAAATGCAAGTCTTTACCTTTTAGTTTTAGTGTAATCGCTAGTAAGCTACTTTTACACTAATTTTTTTTTTTCTAAACTGCGCTCTTCTATCTTTCTTCTTCTTTCTATGAGTGCTGATCAATAAATGTATATTGTTTATTAAATATACAAGGTCCGACAATTAGGTAATTAGACTGATTTCATTATGGCCAAGACAAAAATGCCATCTATGAATCAAAGCATAGAATCCAAAGAGGCAACCTTCGTCTGTGGTCTGGCAACTTTTCATCGCGATAAGCAGACAACAAACAAGCCGCCCTTTTGTTAACCTAGTCAGAGGTGCATTGTTAAGTAATCAGCATAGAACAACAACAACAACAACAACAACAACAACAACAAAAAAAAAAAACTAACATTTAATTCTGTTTAAAAAGCAGAAAGTGCTATTGCGACAGTTTAATTGTTGCGAATAGTTCGTGGGGATAATTGTTTATCTGGTGCACATATTTTCACCTTCTATTCATGATTCAAATGGTGTGTGGAAATGATTACTAATGCAACTAGACCTGGACGCCCAATTTCTGTTCGTAATGAGGAACTCATTGCAAAATTCCTGGAACGGATACAAGAAGATCGTTGTTCGACTGTGAGAATGATGGTAGATGAATTTGGTGTTAATACAGAGACTATTCGTAAAATGTTAGTGAAAGATTTGGGCTAGAAAAAAAGTTGCTTGTCGGTTTGTATTTAACACCTGGCAATTATTTTCTTTTTTCATGACAATGCAACAGCTCAAAGGGCGGTAGTTGTACAGGAATTTTGGGCCTAAAAACAGGTGCGTGTTCTCAACCATCCACCCTATTCTCCAGTTTTGTCTCCCAGTGACTGTTTTCTTTTCCTACAATTAAAGTTGCCATTGAAAGGACGGTTCTTTGAAAATATTGATGGCATCCAACGGGCCGTAACTTCGACTATATAAGGGCCATAACAACAGAAGAACTACTAATACATTTATTCTCTATTGTCCTTTTCAGGATGACATTTTTTATTTGAAGCTCCACCCTGGCTTTTGCCGGGGGCCGCAATATAGGCAGGCCATAAATATGGCCAAATGTCTGAGCGCGGTTTCTGGGACCTCTCCACGGCGATCTTCATCCGCATGGTGGCATTTTGTGTCATCGGGTGTTTATCGCTTGTGTAATGTTCTGATGGAGTAAAAAGTCAGTTAGTCAGATTTTATAATAGCAAGATACTATTTATTCCTTACGTCCTTTTTAGGACGTAAATTTTTGTTATTTGAAGCCCTAATCTGGCTTTTGCCAGGGGCCGCAATATAGGCAGGCCATCAATATGGCCAATTGTCTGAACGCGGTTTCTGGGACCTCTCCACGGTGATCCTCATCCACATGTTGGCACTTTGTGTCATCGGTTGTTCATCGCTTGTGTGATGTCCTAGTGGGGTAGGAAGTCAGTCAGAAGAACTACAGAGGTCGTTCCAGTGTTTGTTAGATCGTGCCACTTACTGTATCAATGCACAAGATGTTAATTTGAATAAGATATAGGTTATATCTTCAACTGTTGTATATTTTAATTTTGATTTAATTAGGTTGATTACCTAAATGTCGGACCTTGTACAAACTGTGACTGGACAACTTAACGGAGGGATTGGAATGGTCGTGCATAAAACATCCGAACGCCTCGGCTAAATGTTTTATCAACGGAGAAATAAATAGAACGCAAAACATTTGATGGTATTTGTAATCATCCTTTCCACCCCATCCTCCTTTTTGGAAAGCCTTATAGTCATAGTTGTGTTGCATACTATTGATCGATATCGGCTCCAGTGTGGCCGTCCTACTTGCGTTTCTGCGACTTCATTTAGAAGACATTACTCATATTTCCGCCCATAAGCCGACTATAAAACGTATAATCTTCAATACTTTGTAGCAGAAATACCAGAACAAGAATCAGCGTCTTCCTGACATTCCAGTCACATGTCTTCTCTTTAAAGAAGCCTTTTTCAGCACAGATGTACCGCACCGGGGTTAGAGCTTAACTTGGTTCGTGGGAGGTGCTCCGCGGTGCTAAACGCCACCTATATTAACACATTATGGCAATGTCGACGACTTCAAAGTTGCCTGTACCCCGAGGTTCAAGTCTGCAAAGTTTCCGCTCTGGTGGTAATTATGGAAGAATCGTGAAAACCATTTGATGGTGGCCAACATGGCGGGTTGTTGGTGCGTCGGTGTGGAGGTTAACATTGTATCTTAGACTTTTGTTTTCCGATTCAGTAGGCGCGATCTGGTTAGGGTTTGAACAACGTCATGTGAAAGGAATTCTTGGTAGATGGGTGAAAGTAATGTAGTAGGGGTCTTCAAATAAAAACCTTGAAAGTGCGATAAGACTGAAAGTAGATTCATGATTGGTATCCTACGTCCCTCCTGGTTCAGCAAAAGTATCAAGAAAAGATATAAAACCCGACGAAAAGTATATCAGCAAGCTTCACAATATAACGAACACAAACAAAACGAGAGCATTGCGTCTATGGAGCCTTCATCAGCACATACATAAATAAAACAATAACACACACATATTATCAGGTGTGCCTTGATTGCCATCTCGTACGATCAGCGAAATTAAAGATCATATCAGTGCTCTATCTCACCCCTTTCAGTATGGGCAGCCATTCAGGTTTTTATCGCTTTGCCTTCCCTATTCGCTTTTACTATCAGTTTTGCTAGTTTTAACAAAGTCCCCAAGTCAATTACTTCTCATAAAATGATCAATTCCCCCCCCCCCCCCCCGCCCCGACACACTTTTTTTTTATCTCTATGTCTTACTACTCTATTCCTGTTACGCTTTTAATTTGTTTCGGGTAGACTGCATCGTTTGCTTTTCTATCATGCCAGGATATTCTTTTCTTTTTCTTTTTCTAAAAGACCATATCTTCTGGTTAGGTTGCGTAGAAATATCACCCACTTCAGATAAGTGGAAAACTATATCACGAAAAAAAAAAAAAACATAAGTTGTTAGCTTTCGTAAACGTGGTCTTTAACCTTTCAATCAAAGACAAAGAGGTGAGATGGAGTCTGACTTGAAACGTCGCTTGAAACGGCGACAAAAGATCTTAACAAGAGGAAGCAACCCTGTAGTTGCCAACATCATACCAGTCTAACTGAAGGGGAAGCAATTGAAGATCACAGCATGTGTAAGAGTGTTGTCTCTGAGTGTTGTCAGGAACCAGACACTGAAATGTCAGTCTGACACTTAATTTTGGAGATCTGAAGTCTTAGTAACAGCATTGACTAAACGATATAGACCTGAAGGTGTGTTGAATATAAGCACGTCAATAAGTATGGTCTGATAGAATCACTGGTGTGAAGCTCTGGGTGAGAACTCAACAAATTCCAGAGAATCAAGAGGTGGGAAAAAAGGGCGCGTTGGTATTGGGTAGGACACGTGTTTAGAAAACCTGAAAAAAATATAACTAGAATAAGACAGGCATGCTCCATGCAGAGTAGCCAGTATCGTTTCAGAGGTCCCGAGTAGTTAGTATTTTCTCCAGGTGATGCGGGTGTGTTGGGAAACGATTAGGCAGATAGACTGGTCGGTTCTGTGCCATTTGGTGGTGAACTGATGTATTACAAGCTTGGTATTGTGAGGTCCCTTTGGGAGCGAGTGAACAGTGCGGAGGCACATATAGATCATCACTGTTTGAGGAGAATGGCGCTGCGAGGAGTTACCAGGGGATCTGGCCGACGCTCAACACTCAAGGGAAAGTGAGACAGATACACAGTCAGACAGTTACATCGGAACTGGAACTATTTGCTTGCTGCTGAAGACAGGGACAGAGCGCTAATATGAGTGTCCCGAATGCTGTGATGTCGATTATTATTTCAACATTTAACATTACACGAAGTCTTTTTCTGAAACCTACAGAGGCAAATATAGGTAAACCCAAAAAAGTACACGGATATGGGAGCTAGAGAGTTAAATTAAACAGATGGCGAGTTCGTGGATGACTTGCATGCGATGGCAAAGAATAGGACGACTTTAGCCTCAGTTGGCTGAGGCTAGGTTTGACTGTTCCATAGAGGGCAGAAGAACAAAGTAAATAAGGAAATACATAAACCATTTAACGTCTTTGGCGCATTGCCAGCCCCCTGGGTCAATTTTTTTTCTTCAGGGGACAGTGTTGGACATTCTGTCCGGTTTATCTTTGCACAGGGGCATTGATGGACATTCTATCCAGTTTCTCTTTGCACAGTGAACACTGATAGACATTCTATCCTGTTTCTCTTTGCACAAGGGGGATTGATGGACATACTATCCGGTTTCTCTTTGCACAGGGGACAGTGATGGACATTCTATCCGGTTTATCTTTGCACAGGGGACATTGATGGACATACTATCCAGTTTCTCTTTGCACAGGGAACAGTACAACTATTGGGTGAGCCATTTGCTAGATGCTGGAACTGCGATTACAGGATTAACTAATTTTAGGTAGTCATCGGTACCCAATAATCATCAGCGGATTGGGGGGGGGGGGGTGGAATAGGACATATTTAAGCTCATAAAAGAAATGCCCACTTTGTTAATTTTAATAGGGAACAACGTTAAGCGTATAAAATCAATGCCTATGTTGTTGATTTACAATGACAAAACTGTTTAGCCAATGCCATAATATATTTAGACGTCATGTGATAATCAAACGTAGCGGCTAGATCAGTGGTCTCTAGCCCATTTCACCCCCGCCCTAACCCTGGGTATAAGGCAAAGCCCCCCCCCCCCCCCCCCCCCCCCCCCCCCCCCCCCCCTTTGACGCCTAACGCACCAACCCCAACATAACAAAATTTGATTTAAAAAGAGGACAAAAGTAAAAATCTTAACCTCAGTTAACAAGAACTTAGAGAAAAACTGGTCTTGGTCCAAATATCAGTGTAATGGTTGACACTGTTTGGTCTTGATGATATATGTTTGTTACTTTTGGTCTGATGTTGCACAAGGTCTAGTGGAGAGCACTCTCCACATCAGGCTGGTAACACTTTTTTTTTGTTTTCATGATTGTTAAAACTGAAAAGTCAGCTGCGTATCCTTTACAGGACGTCGCAGAACCAAAGCCAGCATTTTTTTGGCTATTGTGTTTTTTTCTAGGCAAATTTACGTCCAGTAGTTTGCCATTGCTTACTGCAGGGTCGGCTTCTCGATACTACTGTCAAAACCCAACGCAAGGCTGGGATAGAACCTGGCAACTGGGCAGTACGAAGCGCGTTCGCAGCTAAGCCACAGACGGTTAAAACTGCAACTCCGGATTATTAAGAGTGGCCTCAATTTCGAAATTATTCGATGCCTCCCTTGAAACTTCCTCCCAGCCCCTTCCCCGCCCCCATGTTGCAGATCTGCCGGGCCGATTGAGGGTTAAAATCCAAAAATCTTTTCGTTTTCTCCAAAATTAACTGGGGCTTTCAGGCTGATCCAACCTAAGTGTTACATGAGAAGTTGAAGACATCACACATCGAGTGCTTTTAGTCTTGCACTTTATATCCAAAACGCCATAGGCTTGAAATTATAAACATCCAACCCACATTGTACTAGAGTTGACTTTTTAAACATTTTGTGGTGCCCAGATTTAGCTGTGCTATATGATTATGCTGTTGAACGGGTTTTACGGTATTTGTAGCTGTTTTAATCTCGTCGTAAGTAAAGTAAAAAAAACTAAAGGACCCTTTTCGCGCAACTGGACGTATAGGGCATATAGGGCTAGACCTATATTTTTATAGACCAATCGGCACGAGATGGGTGATGTGGTCACCATCACGCCGGTCGGCTTCACTTTCCCGGGACTGCACCTGGTACCCACTCAAGGCTGGGTCGACCTGGGAGCCAAGGTCATTATTGAAAACAGTCCGGCTCTGCCAGGGAGCGAACCCACAACTTTCTGATCCGCGGCGAGCGTCTAGCCGCTCGGCCACGACGACTCCCCCTACTCTTTACTTTTACTTACTTATTCGCTTCTCTTCTATCTTGGAGTGTGGAGGTTTGCCAGAGAGATCGCCAGACGTCTCTATTAGCAGTTTTTTTTTTTTTTTTTTCAGCATTGTTCCATTCGAGTCCTCTGTCAGTTAGGGACTGTCGGATGTTGTCTTCTCAGCGGACCGCCCTGGAGGTCTGGTTCCCTGGCTCTTAGCCTCCGATTCCTGCCATGGTGACCGATTTTCTTACATTTGCATACATTTCAGAACCATCGTAATTGGGACTGATCCACTCGAGTTTGTAAGACAAGGGTTTCAAGACCTTGACGGATTCTCAGATATCTAATTTCTGAGGCCTGAAGCTGGCTTCTGTGAGCTGTAGTCATTACCCATGATTCACACTACACTGGCACTTAGGTAGAGCGGTATATAACCATTTTCTTGATTCTTATCCTCGAGATGGTTATTCTCCTCCTCCTTATCATCATCATCATCATCATCATCATCATCATCATCATCATCATCATCATCATCATCATCATCATCATCATCATCACCATACTCATCATCACCATTTTCATCATCATCATCATCAACATCATCAAGTGCCTTGCCGATCTGCGTGGGCGATCCTGCCTCTCCATAATCTGCCACCTTCAAGAGCATTAGTTCGCGTGTTGGCACACGTCCATTACATAAAACAAAAAGGCTGTCAAGAATCTTCTCACGTTGTCTACATATGGCTCTGTTTCCACATTTTTTTCCTGTGGTCACACTGTTACAGTTTCTATCTCCATAACATAACACAAAACAAAAAAAAATTACCCACTGTCTCTTTCTGATATTTGTGATAAGTTGTCTTCGAGCCGTCGCCTCTTCAAAACATCTGAGTTGCACTTTTTTTCTGTCCAATAAATTTTAAGGATTATTCTGCAAAAGCGTGTTTCCAAGGCCTCGAGAAAGTGTTCGGCTTGTTTACTAATTGTCTAGGAATCAGAGCCATGTGTTAAAACAATGTTAATCCTATCTGGCTGCAAAACTGAAAATTTAAAAAAAAAAAAAAAAAAAATAAGGGGGGAAAAGGGGGAGGGGAGCATTGTTTTTAAAATTCGTGAAAAGGGTCTAAAATTGTGTTTTTTATTATTACTGTTATTGTTATTGTTTGTTTGTTTGTTTACAGCTGAGGACAATGAGTCTGACTCACCACAACTGTCCTCGTCGTCTGCCTGGCCCTCAGCTCCATTCCGCAGGTCGTTTCCGCCCAGAGGGGCAGTAACTGTGCCGGGCCCCCACAGGGGGCCTTGGGTCATGACTGGAATTCCGGTCTCTGAGACGCATGCGCGTATACCCAGAGCTATGGCATCCTCGGCAGCTTGTTGTCTCTTCAGGGCAACCTGGAGTATAAACATGATAATACTAATAATGATAACCGCAACAACTACAACAACACTACATTTATTAGGTAGTAATAGCAGTAGTAGCAGTAGCTGTAAGTAATAATAGTACTTAGCTTAACTTAAGTAGTAGTAGTGACAGTAGCGGCAAAAATAGTAGCAGTAGTTGTAGTTCACGATGTAGCAGGAGCGTCAGTGGTAAAATTAGTAGTAATTGTGGCATTAGCAACCACAGTATAAGTAGTTGTAGTGATGGTGGTTGTGGTGGTGGTGATCAAAGCAGCAGCAACAGCAGCTTCCCTATTAGTAGTAGTAGAAGTAGTAGTAGTAGTAGTAGTAGTAGTAGTAGTAGTAGTAGTAGTAGTAGTAGTAGTAGTAGTAGTAGTAGTAGTAGTAGTTGTAGTAGTAGTAGTAGTAGTATTAGTATTAGCAGCAGTATAGAAGAAGAAAAAGAAGAAGTAGTAGTAGTAGTAGTATTAGTATTAGCAGCAGTATAGAAGAAGAAAAAGAAGAAGAAGTAGTAGTAGTAGTAGTAGTAGTAGTAGTAGTAGTAGTAGTAGTAGTAATAGTAGTAGTAGTAGTAGTAGTAGTAGTAGTAGTAGTAGTAGTAGTAGTAGTAGTAGTAGTAGTAGTAGTAGTAGTAGTAGTAGTAGTAGTAGTAGTAGTAGTAGTAGTAGTAGTAGCAGCAGTATAGAAGGAGAAAAAGAAGAAGTAGTAGTAGTAGTAATAGTAGTAGTAGGAGGAGTAGTAGTATTAGTAGTAGTAGTAGTAGTGTTGGTGGTAGTAGTAGTAGTAGTGTTGGTGGTAGTAGTAGTAGTAGTGTTGGTGGTAGTAGTAGTAGTAGTGTTGGTGGTGGTAGTCGTAGTGGTAGTTGTTGTGGTTGGTGTTGTAGCAGTTTGGTGGTGGTAGTAGTAGCAGTTGTTATTGCTGTAGTGCTGATGGTGGTATTATCGTGTGGAGCATACTGCGTAAATAGTTCTAGCTCATTTCGCCACCTGCATGTCTTGGGTTCAAATCCACATATAGTCAGTTAAAAAAAATATACGATCCAGCCTAAAAGGGGTCCCACTGATGAGTAAAAGACTGGCATTAGTGGCGCCTTGTAGCAAAATCTAGTGGGGTCTAGGGAGTGTTGTTTCAGAAGATTTTTGAGTCATTGTAATATTGCATACAACGAAACAAATCTAATAAGTCAATTTATACACACACTTAATAAAAGCCATTTAAAACATATTTTCAATAACCAGTTTTGTTGCAGTTCAAGCTTGATCCCTTTATTTAAAAAAAGATTTCAATTTCTCATGCTTTACTTTGCGTTAAAAAAAAAAAAAACAGTTATGGGCTGTACTGTGTTTTCGACAAGGCTGCATCTATCTAATGTGCAGCTTCTTATCTCGAAAATGTATCCATGCGCACTATAACCTAATACCCTGTCAACTGGGAACACAAGGGAACTATTTGTTTATGACCTAGGCTTACGTTAAATTCAAGAACTATATAGTGTACTAGTACAGATGTTGTTCATGCTGACAGAGGGACTCTGTCCCAAGACCACCGGATGTTTAGAGTACTTATTTCCTCTTGAAGTTTCAGTAACGTTGTAGATTTTTTACAGGGCAGAGCTGTCAACACTGCTCCCAACCCCCGAGCCTGGAGGATCGGGAGGCCATCTTTAGTCTGGCCCCTGAAGAGAAGATTGAAATGGCTTGGCCACGTTATGAGAATGACTTCTGATTTAACTGCCAAAACAGCTCTCACATGGACACCAGAGGGAAAGAGAAAGAAGGGGCGCCCAAAAACAACATGGAGACGAACGATGGAAAGTGACCTGAGTGCGGCATCTTTGACATGGAAAACTGTACTGAAGATTGCACAGGACAGGAAAGCATGGAAAGTCCTCTCTGAAGCCTCATGTGCCACTTGGCATACCGAGAACTGATGATGATGACTAGTACAGATGGGGGGGGGGGGAGAGGGGTAAGTGGGGGTGGGTGGGGGAACTAGAAGTTGAAACCTTCTAAATATCTTTGCTCCCACATTTGTAACGATGGTAGCTGTACCAAAGAGATCAAGACAAGACTTGATATGCCAACAGCCGCGATGTCGCAGCTGAATACAATGTGCAAGAGCAAAATCAGCATCGCAGTTAAGGTCAATATATACAAATCACTGCTAGTGTCAATTTTCTTATATGGATGTGACAGTTTGACTCTCACTGTGGAAACGGAAAGGAAAATTCAGGTTTTGGAATGTTATGAATTAGATATTTAGAACACAAAACTAATAAATATGTCAGAGACAAAACATACAAATTTGCGGGACATTATGAGCCTTTCTTGGCAGTGGTGAAACGTCGCAGGCTAGCTCGATTCTGGGACATGGTGAGACATGATTCAATTGCAAAGTCTGTACTTCAAGGAACATTAGGGGTAGTCAAAGAAGAAGAGGAGGGCAAAGAAGAATCTGGAATGGCAATATCAAGAAATAGATTGTAGGAGGTCAATGGTTATGTTATGTTATGTTATGTTATGTTATGTTATGTTATGTTATGTTATGTTATGTTATGTTATGTTATGTTATGTTAAGTGTAAAGCAATAATAAACCAAGTGGACAAGAAATTATATCCAATGTTATCGATGATATCGAGTGGAGACAGGGGGTGCTGCAGATCCACAGTGCCTACAAAAACAGCCGTAATGGCCGGTGTGATGTTGACCACAACACGCATAAAGTGCCTATTGGACTATAAAACGACCAGCTTCAGCTATCGGGCCATGCTGCTGACGTCACCGGGTATACAGATATGAGTATCGCATCAAATGACCAGTATGCCAAATGTGTGAAAATGATTCTTTAGTTACTCTACTTTTAACCAAATTACTTGAACACCCCGACAACCTGGATGAACTCAGCAACGAGAAGAATTGGCTCATAAAAAGCATCTACCCGTGGGGGTTTCGGGGCCGCAATATGGGGAAAATAGGAATAGACCCTACTATCCACTGCCTCCCCAACAAGCATGTCCTACAAGTAGACTATTTGGGGGCTTACTTAGAAGTCGGAGTGTATCTGCCTGAGTGGCAAGGAACAAAAAATCTGCAAACAATAAAGTCAGATCTGTTAAATTGCTGTGCACGCAACATTCAGGTTCTGGAACACAACTAAAGTCCAGAAGTGGACAAACAACCAAAACTTTCCCGCCGGAGTTTACAGCCGGAGAACGTGAAGAAGAAGAAGAAGATAAACAGCATCCTGTCCCGAAAGCAGAAGGATATGTAAAACTTCATAGTGGCCTGGAGAGACCTGTGATAGAGGCTACAGTTTCCGGAAAACGAAATGGAGCCAGATCTCTTCGACCGCGAATTCAAGACACTAAAGATGCTATGAAGGCACTTAGGGCTGGAGAACTGGTTAGAGAAAGAAAGACTTTCAAGCGTTTCGTGACCAGAGCGACGTTCTGTTGATTGAAGATCTGCTGATTGGAGATGATGATGATGATGATAATGATGATGATGATGATAATAATAATGACGACAAGAACACCACGGACCTTACCTGGGCGGCCATGACCCTCTGGCGTTCGGCGATCAGGTTACACTTGGGACAAGTGCAGTCCTTGTAGGTGCAGTGCCGTTTGTGGCCTTTCAGCCAGGAGACCATCCCGTGGTTTCTACAGCGGGCGCACTTGGGCTTCCTGGCGCCTTTCTCGGTCAAGGGGTACAACGCCGTGACCCCATTCATTGTGGTGGGATACAGCGACAGTTTTGAGGTTCAACTGTTTATATTTATAGAAAATTTGGAGCAGAAACTGCAATCTGGCAAGTTGATTTCCCGAAAACAGTTCTAATACAATGAAGCTCTGAAAAGAGAGAAGAAATCAATGACAGTTACTACTCCAATCAGAGGCTCAGAGGCACAAGAATGCGAAGGGTTAAGCCCCACTAGCTCGAAATCTCCCCCCCCCCCCCCCCCCCGTCCAACTCTTACGGCATGCATTGGGTAAGCAGTGGGTCTGTTCTTGTTTTCCTACAGCGGGGTCCGAAAATCCATACGGGGAATCGGAAATGAACCAACCCATAGACCAACCGGTTCTTGGTGTATGATGTGGTCAGCATTACACCTGCCGCCTTTACTTCCCAGGGCTGTACCTGGTACCCTAGTAAGACTGGATCGACGTGGGAGCCAGTGTCATTTTTTGAATAAAGTGAGAAGATCAGAGACACGTGTTGACAAATACCTGTATCGACTGCAACAAGTCAAATAAAGTGGGAGATATATTGGGCACACTATGAGACTAAATGAGCAAAGAATTACAAAACAAGGAATACAATGGGAACAAACGGTCTGCGAAAAAGAGGACGTCAACTTGAAACACTAAGAAGAAAATTATTATAGTTAAAAAAAATTTTGTTTAAAGTTAAGGTCCCTTTTCTACGCCTTTAGGCGTTTAAGGCATATAGGGCTAGACCTTTATTTTATAGACCAACGGCACAAGATAGGTGATGTAGTCTGTATCAAACAGGCCGTCTCTACTTCCCGGGACAGCCTGGGAGCCAAGGTCATTTTTCTAGAAAAGTCCGGCCCCGCCAAGGAGCGAACTCACGACCTTCCGATCCGACGGCGCCCGTCTAGCCGCTCTGCCACGGCGACTTCTAAAAACATTATTACTAGAAGCTAAAAACGATGGCTGGAACGCCATGTCAGAAATCAAGAGAGTCGCATGCAATAGAGCCGAGTGGAGGAATCGAATACGAGCCCTATGTGACGTCTCACGTGACACCAAGGATGACAATGAGGACAAAAACAAGAAGCTTTGGTCCTTTGAGAGCCCCCTTTCCGTCCCCCTGCCCTCCTTCCACATACACATTTCTTTCCCTAACCCCCTTCCTAAAAAATATGTCGTCTGGTTGAAGCATCCTTCCCCTCCCCCTTCCTAAAAAAATGTTAGCGGGTTGACCCCCCCCCCCCCCCCCTCCCCCATTCCACAAAGGCTCTCTTTTCCATCAACGCCCTGCCAAACAAGAAAATAAAGAAAGTGTTTTAGTTAGTTTTTTCCTCGGGAAAGTGTGGTAGGTGGAAAGGGGTGGGGATTGTGTGGTTGGTAAAAAATTTCACATCCAATGATGTGAATTACTTGCAAATGTAGTATTTGCAAAGAAGAAATAAGGCTAAATATATTAAGAACAGTCAGCGTCTGTGGCTTAGGCGTTGCGAACGCGCTTCGTAAAGCCGGGGTGCCAAGTTCTATCCCTGCTGCGGACGGTTTGTCTTGCGCTGGTTTCGACAGTCCTACCGAAAGCCGACCGTCCAGTGAGCAATGGCAAACTACTGGACGTAAATTTGCCTAGAAAAACCACAACAGTCAGAAAGTGCTGTGATTGGTTCTACAACCAACGTCCGGTAAAGGATACGCAACTACAAAACAAAACAAAAACAAAACAAAAAAAAAAAAAAAAAAAAAAATTTAAGAACATTGAATTAGCCGATATATTCCTTATATAATAGGTTTTGACGGATATCTCTGATAATTGTTTGATTTCTCAGCTGTCTAGACTGTCGGTCGGCTCTGTGGTTAAGTCGATGCGAACGCTTCGTAATGCCGGGATGCCGGGTTCGATCAGCCAGGGGCTGTCGGGGTTGCCTGCAACGTCCTAAGATTGTTGAGCTCAAATACTATAGAGAGATTCTTAGAATAATGTGAACCACAAATGAAAAATAAAAATACTGACATCTCAACAAATCTGAACATGAAGGGAAGATTGGTAAGTTTACAGCATCTTCCCTCTAAAACTAAAATATTTTAGCCATATCAAGCGCTATGGCAAATTTAAAAGAATAGTAGCAGAACGATTGGTGCCAGGAAAGGGGCGGGGCCGACCAGCATTAAGATGGATCAAGAAAGTGACACCTTGGGTAAGAAAGTGCACAAGAGAGACAATCTTGAGAGCGACCAAGTTTCTTTTAGGCAGGCTGGGGTGAGAGCTACGTTTTGCTAATAGGTTAGTTGCGTATACTTTACAGGACGTTGCAAAACCAACC